CGTCTCCAACTCTTCTTCTGAATGAGCAGCTATTACCAAATCATCGGCATACACCCACACTCACACACACACGCACTCACACGACCCCGCACCTCCGCAACAGTTCACGGGACGCGACACATCCGTGGCACCACGTGGATGTGGCGGTCGATCCACAATCAATCCGCTCCCCCCTCCATCCCCCTCGCCCCGTGACCTCTGCGTGACCGTCCCGACTGCCGCTCTGCTCGCGCCCCGCATTGATCGGCAATCCGCGAGTCCTTGCTCACCTTGAGCCGGGAACATTGGTTTGTGTTCAGCGTCGCGCGGAGGGGGTGGAGGGGGGTTCGGAGTTCGCAAAGGACGCGCGACTTTACAGACACGAGGCCCCACACACCCACACTCCCCACAAACACCCACACACACAAACACCCACACACACCCACACACACCCACACACACACCCCGTGCCGTCTCCCATGGCTCTCGCTGATCCCTCGCTGCGTGCTGGAGGACAACGCTTCTTCTGGAGATAAATAGTCGTCAATCACAGCAAACAACAACAACAAAACATCGCTTTCAATCTTCAACGGAGCAATTTCCAGAGAGGTAATGAAATGGAAAAAAAACAAAGGCGGTCGGGCGCGGTGCCTATGGCAGACGCACTCGCGTGTTGCCGTGGCGACCTTCAATCCGAGCTCCTCGCTAACAGCACTTTCCTCACACAGTCTGGTGAGAGTACGGGGGATCTTTGTGTCTGTCACGAAACACACATTGCACACACACACCCACACACAGTGATAACAACAACAACCGCCATTCGCCACTAAGTGGCGGTGACGTCACCACGACGATTTTGCCAGGCCATGTGCACCTTGAGGCCACGTGAAGTGTCGAACGCCCGCTGGCAGGAGGTCACGGGGCAGACCCAGCAGGTGCCACGGGTCGACTGACTGAGATGACCGAGATGACTGGCTGATGCACCACCTGTGCCCCCTACTGTACCAACTTGTTGTGTTTTAGGCACCCGGCGCTCCGCTCGTTGTTGTGAGCGTCGCTCCTCCGCCCTCCGTTGTTGCTGGAGGGCGACTGCCTCCAACTGCCCAGTAGCGTCCTTCACGAGCCTCCTCCACAGAGGCCGATCTTGACACCGCTGATACCAGTCATCGGCAAGTCCACTCAGCTCCACATCCTCCTGTACCACATCACTCTATCTCTTCTCTAGCCCGTGCCGCGCCCGTTTAGCCCCCTCGATCCGGCCGAACAAAAGCTGTTTAGGCATGCGGTGGCTGGGCATGCAGACACACACACACAGACACCAACACACAGACACCCACACACAGACACCCACACACACACACACCCCCCCACACACACAGACACCCACACACACACCCACACACCCACACACACACCCACACACGCACACATACACACGTGCGGAGTATACGTTCAGTCGAGAGGGCACTGTTGGAAGATGATGAGTCTGGCTGACCCTCCCGCCGGCACGCGTTAGAGCCCCCGGAGTGGAGTGAGATGAGAGGGGAGCGGTAGGAGAGTGCGTGGAGGGGAGTAGAGTGAGATGAGAGGGGAGAGGTAGCAGAGTGCGTGGAGGGGGGTTGAGTGAGATGAGAGGGGAGAGGTAGCAGAGTGCGTGGCGGGGAGTGGAGTGAGATGAGAGGGGAGAGGTAGCAGAGTGCGTGGAGGGGGGTTGAGTGAGATGAGAGGGGAGAGGTAGGAGAGTGCGTGGAGGGGAGTCGATTCCTACTCTGCAGGGGGAGTCATCAACAGGCGGTGTTCCTATGGGGAGTCTCGGCCCCATCAAAGGCATTTCCAGCAGTGACCAAGAGGGCTGCAGAGCCGCAGATGAGCACCGATGCCTCCATCGATCGTCATTCTGCGCACGAACTCACACCCTGGGCCGGGTGGCACCGGCGGCCGATGTCACATCGGATCAGTCGCTGTCCACCTCTCACTGTCTCTCTCTGCCTGGCAATGAACGTCCGATAATTTCTCATGGAATATTTTCAGCACCCCCCCCCCACCCACCACCACTCCACCCAACTCCGCAAGCGCCCTCAAAAGAACCACGAGCAATAGGAACGAACTAATGGGGAACAAAATTCATAATTTTATATTCGTCAAGAAAGACAACGAACGCAAGGGCACAGGACGGGTCCCATGCGAGGCGCCGTCTCGCGGTGCGAGGAGGAGCCCAAGAGGAGAGAGATGGGGGGGGGGGTGGGGGGGATGGAGGGTGGGGGGGATGTCGGGGGGGGGGGGGATCGTGACTCCTCGCGCACGGGTGGAGTCAGCGCTGCGGTCGGAGTGAATTATCAGCGGACACGTGACCTTGGGTGTCATTGCCATGAACATCATGATCGTCATCATCATCATCATGATGATCATCGTCGTGATCATGATCAGGATCATCATTATCATCGTATATATAATTTTCATCAAACAATCACGTTCAACGTAGTCATCATCATCGTGGTCATGATCATCATCATCATCATCACAGGTCTCGTTATTATAAACATAATTGTCATCGCTGTGATAATTGATAACACAATACTTAGGATAATTTTTGTCATCATCAACATAATAATTTTTCAACATCATCACCACCATCATTACTGTCATAGATATCGTCATCATCATCATCATCAAAATCAGAACTGGAATGAATTCCGCAAACGTGTTTTTTCGTGTTAGAATCGTTATCTTGATTATCACGTATCATCTTAATAATCATCATTGGGATCATCATCGTCACCTATGAAACAACATGTCTTTACTTTTGTACATTACTCATCGTCGTCATCATCAACCTAATTATCGTCACTGGAGCCATCATCATCACCATCACTACCCACTGGGTGCAAGAAGGCACCCCCACGATTCTATTTAACGAATCGATTTGTTGTTGTTGTTGTTGACGCAACAATGTGACCTCCAGATTGGTTAACTCTTTGAAAGCCGCTCCGCGCGTCACACTGATTTGTCACTGCCGTTCATTAACCGCTTTGTAACCGGTTAATTAAAAATGAAACGGACACATGGCATGACTAAGACACACCAACTAAGTATGGCTCTCAACATGAACGGTGAAAATACAATATTTTAGTCCAGAAGCATCTGGGCGTCGTGGACCCATCTGTGCCTCCACCATCACAATACAGGGTCCTTGAATTTTTTTAAACACTTCTGAGAAATTACAACAATACCGCGAGAAATTTGCCGCCTGCGGGCTCTGTAGACCACCTGGAGAAGATTCCAAGCACGCGTTGAAGCTATTAACATTACATTTGTTATAATGTGACAGTGTATATTCGTTCTTTTTCCATTAAAACGATAGCCCCATATAAGTGTTAACATTTTTTAAGCAGCCTGTATATCACCACCATCATCATCATCATCAGCAGTTATCAACCCACTGCTGGATGAAGAACTCCACTCATAGTCCACTCATCGCCATCTCCCACAATCCGCCTCGAGCTGGTTTCCGTCACTGCATCAACTCAGTGGAAACGTCCTCGATTGTGGATGCGTTCAGTGCCTCTCCTTGGCCGCCCAGACTCTCTGCTCGCAAGAGTCTCGGGACACGGCAAGGCTTTCCTGGGTTAGTGAAGGCCATGGCTTTGATGGCCTCTGCTTGTGAGGGGTTTGCCTGCTGGCCATCGAACAAAGACGCCGGTCACCGCAGCGCGCGCTGTCAGATGCGCTGCACACTGACGCTGTGCACTTTTAAATCATATCGATTGAGAACCCATTTCTTCAGAACTGCCTTTGGCGTGTTCGTTTGTTGTCCTTCTCCCGCACCTCCGATTAGCACGCTTGGCTGCGTACGGTGCGAAAGAAGTTCAACACACACACATGTACACACGGGCGTGATTTTGTGTACATTTCTTATTCACGTGGAGGTGTAGCTCTGCTCGCGTTTCGCTCGCCGACACAGCCGGGCGTAACACCCATCTCGTGTACCCGTGTGTATTTATTTTATAACGGTGATTTATTTTATTTTAATCTTGATTTGAAGCTTTCGTGACTGCAGGAATCTATACTCTCTGTAGGTCTTTCGGTAAAGTCACGTAGGTAAAAAAATAATATATCACGACGTTTCGGACGCAACACAAGCGTCCGTCATCAGGCGAAAAATGTTGATAAAGCTGCTACAAGTAAGGGGTTGTATTAGTAAATGTAGAATTTCGATGTAAAGCTTTCGTGACTGCAGGGATTCATCTTCTTGGTTCTTTCGGTAAAGTCACGTAGAAGGGAAATAATAATGTTTAAAATTTAATTATTTTATTATTTCCCTTCTACGTGACTTTACCGAAAGAACCAAGAAGATGTAAATGTCAGGCGAGCAGACGGAAGGCTATAGCAATGCGTCAGCTAATCCGAGGGGGGGAGGGAGGGAAGAGGCTGCAGTAACGAGCGAGCGGGTGGGAATGCAAATTACAGAGTGATCGGCGGCAGGAGGAGAAAGAGGGGTGATGCTTCTCATGCGGCAATTTTTAGCAGCCAAACACTCTAAACGCTGTCTCTCTAAATGTGGAGGGGAAAACCGCCGGAGGACCCGGAGAAAAATCCACGCGACCACGGGGGAGAGATAAAGACACACACGCAATCTACAAATATTTAACAGGCGTCAGGATCGGGATCGAACCCACGAGCTCCCGCATATCAGACGATGTAGTTAACATCTCACCACTGTAGCAACATGATTGTGAACGCAGCCTCCGTCTATCCCCATGCGCTGACGCCAACTTAGAACCTGGCCCCATCGAGCTCATGAAATTGTCCCCCCCCCCCCCCACATTTAGAACAAAACACGCGCTTCGAACATTTTGGCTGCGGTAACTTTCAAACATGGTAAACCACTTTGTCGGGGTGCGCGGTCAGCACCACGTTCGACCGCCTTTGTCTCCCCAGTGGCGAAGTTTTACACACCGCACCAGGTACTCATTTGAGGCTGAGTCGCCATAGGGGAGGCCCAGGACTGGTTCAGACACTCGTCACTGGGTGTTGGCATGGCCGAAGCCGCTTCCACCAAGGAGACGGATAGGCTCGTGGAAGTGAAATCTTCCCCGTGCAGCTGCTCCTGCACCCTCGTGTCGCTCCCCTCTCCCATCGGCGCCGCCGCCGCCGCCGCCGCGCTCGTCGTGGTCATCACAGTCGCAGCTGCAACCTCCTCATCGTCACCACCGCCGTCGTCACCCGCGGCATTTCTATCGCTGCACCACGCGCTCCGTCTCTCTCTCGCTCTTCCCGGCATCTTCCCCACATCGCCGGACGTCGCTCCTCCGTCACAACAACAACACAAACGAGAACAACAACTACGGCGGCAGCAGCAGCAGCAGCAGCAACAACCCAGGCGCTGGCGGTTGTCGTGGTAGCGGCATTGCCGTCCGGCACGAATTCGCGCGCACGGGAGCCGCTCCTTGAAGAACTCCGTGAAGAAGATTAGAAGCACGGGGTTGATGCAGCTGTGCGCGTAGCCCAGGCAGATGCTCAGCTGGTAGGCGAGGTGGAACCCGTCCGTGGGCTCGCTCAGCGTCAGGCCGACCATCTGCAGGGTGTGGAAAGGCGCCCAGCAAGCGGCGAACGCCACCACGATGGCGACGGCGGTGCGCGTGGCGCGCCGGCTCCGCGAGCTCTGGGGCCGGAGCCGTGCGCGCCGCGTGGCGCTCGAGACGCGGCGCAGGGCGAGCGCGTAGAAGACGCTGATGAGCGCGAGCGGCGCGGCGAAGGCGAGGGCGAAGTTGGCCACGGCGAAGGCGGTGGCGCCGAGGCGCGCCTCGGGGAAGTCGAGGGCGCACACCTCCACGCCGTGGATGCGCAGCACGCTCGCGTAGACGGGCGCGGGCAGCGACAGGAGGAGGCTGCAGAGCCACACGAGGGCGTTGACGAGGAAGGCGCCGCGCATGGTGCGGTTCGTGGCAGCGGTGAGCGGGTGCGCCACCGCGATGTATCTGCGGCGAGGCAGGTGACAGAGGATTCGGATTTTTTATTTAACATTTTTTAAATTTTAATTTTTAACTTTTTTAAAAACTTTTTTTAAGTTTAACTTTTTTTTTATTGTTTACGTTTTTTGTTTGTTTGTATCACTGGAAGAGGAATCCTCCAGTGTCCGCGAAGGTCGGTCAGCGAGTTGCATCAACGTGGCATGTGGACGAGAACGGAGGCACCCGCTCTGGTTTGTGGCGGAGCATTTCATCGATCGGTGTGTTGGGAGGATGGCTCGCGGAAGCGGATGCCAGGGAACTGCTGCTGAAGATGCGGTGCCACGTTCACCGACTCGGACAGCAACGTGCGTCGCGTGACAGCGACAGCGGCGTTTCATTTCTCAGATATAGGATGCGTTCACATTGAGCGGAGAACTAAATTAATGCGAAACGCTGACGCAGTCATCGGTGGGAAGGAGCTGAGACCATCAGCTCACTGCACCTGAGATCCGGGTTTAATCGCAGGGTTGCTGCCTGGATTTGAACCCATCCATTCATCTGTGGATATCGAGCGGCGTTCTTCATTGCGAGCCCCTGGTGGCCTTTAGTGCGGCCCCCGACAATACACAAATGGTGAAAACACCCATCATCATCATCATCAAAGCGCTGCTGTCAAACCTTAATGGTTTCAAATGTATGTCGGCCCTCACACACTGATTATGTGTTATCGGCCTAAGTGGCTTCTCCCCCCTCCCTGAAAAGAATCGTGAAGAACGCTGCTGTAGAACAATAGAAAATATTCACACAGCTCCCGATGCTGGAATGAGTCCATTCGTGCTTGCAGAATTGATACAATACCAGTGCTCGATACAGATTCTGGAGGGCAGATGGAGCGAATAAAATGGAATGAACGAGACAATATATATACACTGTGTGTGGAAATATATATCTTTAGAAGCAATGCAAACTAGACGGTAAATACCGTGCAAAAGTAATCAAATCTCGGCCGCGAATAGTCAAGACAAATAATCGAACCTGATATCACTTGCCACTGACGTTAATCACGGTCTTAGGTGTTTTCGGTAAAGTCACGTAGGTAAAAAATAAAATTAAAATGAATAAGAACTTGTATCTTGGAATGTTTTGCCTCACTTGATGCAGTAAATTTAGCTGTGACGGTCCCACCTGATGACGGAGACTTGTGTTGCCTCCGAAACGTCGTGATTTATTATTTAATTTTATTTCTATTATTACTTTGATTAATTTTAATTTTATTTTTTACCTACGTGACTTTACCTAAAAAACCTAAGAGTATGAATCCTTGGCGGAGGAGCTCTGCTCCTCCGCCAGTGCCATCCGTGCCTCTCCGCCTGTGCACGAATGGCACCTACAGACGAAACGGAGCAGAGCCCCCCCACCCACCCCCACCCCCTCTCACCTGTCGATGCACAGAACCGTGACGGTGCCCACACTCGTGTACTGATTGTTGACGTCCACCAGCGTCAGCGCCTTGCACAGGAACCAGCCGAAGCGCCACCTCTGCTCGCTCACCAGCTGGTGCGCGAGGAAGGGCATGCCGAGCAGGAAGAGGAGGTCGGCCACGGCCAGGTTGAGCACGTACGCGTCCGACACGTGGCGCCTCTTGCCGCCGCCGCCGCCGCACGCGAGAGCGCAGATGACGGCGCCGTTGGCCGCCACTCCGCACACGCAGAGCAGCGCGTAGGTCGCCTGCAGCGGCGCGTGCGACGAACTCGCCGCCGCGTCGCCGCTGACGTTGGAGGTTGAGTTCGACATCGAGCACGGGGCGGGGTGGATTGGTGGGGGGGGGGGGGCACTTGGTTGGGGTTTATGGTTGTGTGTGTATGTATGTGTGTACGTTGAACTTTCTTTCGCACCGTACGTAGCCCACGGTGCTAACCGAGGTTGGTTTGCTCGCGCGCGTGCGATGCGACGCGAGTTGGCGCGACGGAGCGGTCGAGGTGGTGGCGTGCGGTGAGAGAGAGAGACAGAGAGAAGAGAGACAGAGAGACGGAGAGAGAGTGAGAGAGAGAGACGGAGAGAGAGTGGGGAGATAAAGGAACGAGGGCGCAAGAGGTTGGGGGTGGGGGTGAGGGATGGGGAAGTCGGTGCGCGTGTGCGCGCGAGAGAGAGAGTATGCGTGTAGGTGTGTGAGTTTGTGTAGGTGTGTGGGTTCGTGTAGGTGTGTGGGATCGTGTAGGTGTGTGGGATCGTGTAGGTGTGTGAGTGTGTGAGTGACTGTGAGTGAGTGTGTGAGTGAGTGTGTGGGTGAGTGTGTGAGTGAGTGTGTGTGAGTGAGTGACTGCGTGAATGTGTGAGTGTGTGAGTGACTGCGTGAGTGTGTGGGGATGTGCGTGAGTGCGTGAGTGTGTGAGTGTGTGAGTGAGTGCGTGAGTGTGAGTGTGTGAGTGAGTGTGTGAGTGTGTGAGTGAGTGTGTGTGAGTGAGTGTCTGAGTGAATGTGTGAGTGAGTGACTGCGTGAGTGTGTGAGTGGGTGTGAGTGTCTGAGTGAATGTGTGAGTGAGTGTGTGAGTGACTGCGTGAGTGTGTGTGTGAGTGACTTTGAGTGTGTGTGAGTAAGTGTGTGTGAGTGGTGTGAGTGACATTGTGAGTGGGCGTGTGAGTGTCTGAGTGAATGTGTGAGTGAGTGTCTGAGTGACTGCGTGAGTGTGTGAGTGGGTGTGTGAGTGTCTGAGTGAATGTGCGTGTGAGTGTCTGAGTGAATGTGTGAGTGAGTGTGTGAGTGACATTGTGAGTGGGTGTGTGAGTGTCTGAGTGAATGTGTGAGTGAGTGTCTGAGTGACCTCGTGAGTGTGTGAGTGGGTGTGTGAGTGTCTGAGTGAATGTGTGAGTGAGTGTGTGAGTGACTGCGTGAGTGGGTGTGTGAGTGTCTGAGTGAATATGTGAGTGAGTGTCTGAGTGACTGCGTGAGTGTGTGAGTGGGTGTGTGAGTGTCTGAGTGAATGTGTGTGTGAGTGTCTGAGTGACTGCGTGAGCGTGTGAGTGAGTGTCTGAGTGACCTCGTGAGTGTGTGAGTGGGTGTGTGAGTGTCTGAGTGAATGTGTGAGTGAGTGTCTGAGTGACCTCGTGAGTAGTGTGAGTGGGTGTGTGAGTGTCTGAGTGAATGTGTGAGTGAGTGTCTGAGTGACCTCGTGAGTGTGTGAGTGGGTGTGTGAGTGTCTGAGTGAATGTGTGTGTGAGTGTCTGAGTGAATGTGTGAGTGAGTGTCTGAGTGAATGTGTGAGTGAGTGTGTGAGTGTCTGAGTGAATGTGTGAGTGAGTGTCTGAGTGACCTCGTGAGTGTGTGAGTGGGTGTGTGAGTGTCTGAGTGAATGTGTGAGTGAGTGTGTGAGTGACTGCGTGAGTGTGTGAGTGGGTGTGTGAGTGTCTGAGTGACTGCGTGAGTGTGTGAGTGGGTGTGTGAGTGTCTGAGTGACTGCAGTGAGTGTGTGAGTGTGTGAGTGAGTGTGTGAGTGACTGCGTGAGTGGGTGTGTGAGTGTCTGAGTGAATATGTGAGTGAGTGTCTGAGTGACTGCGTGAGTGTGTGAGTGGGTGTGTGAGTGTCTGAGTGAATGTGTGAGTGAGTGTCTGAGTGAATGTGTGAGTGAGTGTCTGAGTGTCTGAGTGAGTGTGTGAGTGGGTGTGTGAGTGTCTGAGTGAATGTGTGTGTGAGTATCTGAGTGAATGTGTGAGTGAGTGTCTGAGTGACCTCGTGAGTGTGTGAGTGGGTGTGTGAGTGTCTGAGTGAATATGTGAGTGAGTGTCTGAGTAACCTCGTGAGTGTGTGAGTGGGTGTGTGAGTGACTGCGTGAGTGTGTGAGTGAGTGTCTGAGTGACCTCGTGAGTGTGTGAGTGGGTGTGTGAGTGTCTGAGTGAATGTGTGTGTGAGTGTCCGAGTGAATGTGTGAGTGAGTGTGTGAGTGTCTGAGTGAATGTGTGTGTGAGTGAGTGTCTGAGTGAATGTGTGTGTGAGTGTCTGCGTGAGTGTGTGAGTGGGTGTGTGAGTGTCTGAGTGAATGTGTGTGTGAGTGTCTGCGTGAGTGTGTGAGTGGGTGTGTGAGTGTCTGAGTGAATGTGTGAGTGAGTGAGTGTCTGAGTGAATGTGTGTGTGAGTGTCTGCGTGAGTGTGTGAGTGGGTGTGTGAGTGTCTGAGTGAATGTGTGTGTGAGTGTCTGCGTGAGTGTGTGAGTGGGTGTGTGAGTGTCTGAGTGAATGTGTGAGTGAGTGTGTGTGGCGCGGTATTGTATCGGTTCGCGCGGCTGCGCTATGACCCTGGCGACCCGGGTTCGATTCCCGCTCACGGTCAACACCAGTGACGATTATCTGAACCGGTCCTGGGCATCCCCTAGGTTAACTCAGCCTCAAATGAGTACCTGGTGCTGTATGCAAACAGGTGCTCGCTAACAGTACTTGCCCCTACAGTCTGTTAAGGATATACGGGGGATATTTGTCTTTGTATGAGTGACTGTGTGTGTGAGTGTTTCGACACTTCACGTGGCCTCAACGTGCACATAGCCTGGCACAAGCGTCGTGGTGACGTCACCGCCACTTAGTGGTGTATGGCGGTTGTTGTTGAGTGTGTGAGTGTGTGTGTGAGTGAGTGAGTGTGTCAGTGTCTGTCCTGCCAGCGTCGATGTTTTCTCGGCGTGAACTCATGTTCACTCTGAGTCGACCTCAGGGTGACTCGGGAACGGCTCAGGCGTCTCTTCTCAAGGTGTACGCAGCCGCGATGCGCTAACAACTGCGCCACCGCTCCACACTCTGTCTCACAGAGAGAGTCGCAATAATAACCACGTGATGAAATTGAGCGATGATTTACGCCTTTACTCGATTATAATGAACGAGCTCTTCGCCTTATCATCATCCCGATGCTCCAATATTGGAAACTGCTTCAAGCGTTTACGGCAGAAAATATATTAAACACAATGACAAAGACCCGCCGTGTAGCCTTGGCGGACTGTCGGGGCAAGTGCTGCTAGCGAGCACCCACGTGAGCAGGAGGGTCGTAGCGTCGCTCGCATAACGTCTGGGCCGTCTTTGTCTTCCCCAGCGCCGATGTTTAAATACGCGGCCTCAGGTATCAGGCACTCACTTATTGCTCGGCCGATTTGGCAGTGGTTCCCTGACCAGTGCAGATATTCGCCACTGATGAGAGTCGTGAACGGGTAATCGAACCCAGGTTCGCTCGTTGGCGCCGTGCGGTCTGGCGCTCGTGGATCCACTCAGACTCCCCGCTCTTAATTAGCAAAGACAAAGATCCCCTAACTGTGTGCGGCTCGCGGGTGGCAACACCTATGAAAGCCGGCACGGCACACGAGGGGGTGGGTGGGTGGCTAGCACCACGCCCGGCCGCCTTTGTCTCCACAGTGCTGATCTTTACGCACCACGCCAGGTATTCATTTTAAGGCTGAGTCGACCTGGGCGAGGCCCAGGAGCGGTGCAGATATTCGTCACGATTATTGGTCGTGAGCGAGAATGGAACTCGGGGTTAACTGGGTTCGCATCGCGCAGTACGCTAACCACTGCGCCACCGATCCCCCGTATAAAGATAGAGATCCCCCGTGTAGCCTTGGCAGACTCGCGGGCGAGTGCTGTTAGCGAGTAGCACCTGATTAAGGCCAGCACGACACACGAGGGGGGGGGGGGGGTTGAGTGGCCAGCAACCACGGCGAGCCGCCTTTGTCTCCCTAGTGGCGATGCGTACACAGCGCCTCCCGTGCACACGTGCACGCGCGCGTACACTCACGAGTCGCACAGCGAGCGGAATCGGTGCCGTCTGAGAGCGGGCGTGGGTGTCATGGCTCACGTCTCTGGGACCTGGCTGCTTCGTAAGCCGCGCATCGCCATCGCCACCTGTGCAGATCAAGGGTAGCAGGGAAGAGGTGACGAGGCTCGCTGATGATGATGAAGAATGCTGATGATGATGAGCAGTGCTGATGATGATGAGGAATGCTGATGAGCAGTGCTGATGATGAGCAGTGCTGATGATGATGATGAGCAGTGCTGATGATAATGATGAGGAGTGCTGATGATGATGATGAGCAGTGCTGATGATGATGAGGAATGCTGATGATGATGAGAAGTGCTGATGATGATGATGAGGAGTGCTGATGATGATGAGGAGTGCTGATGATGATGAGGAATGCTGATGATGATGATGAGCAGTGCTGATGATGATGATGAGGAGTGCTGATGATGATCATGATGAGCAGTGCTGATGATGATGAGAAATGCTGATGAGCAGTGCTGATGATGAGCAGTGCTGTTGATGATGATGATGAGCAGTGCTGATGATGATGATGATGAGCAGTGCTGATGATGATGATAATGAGCAGTGCTGCTGATGATGATGATGAGTAGTGCTGATGATGATGAGGAATGCTGATGATCAGTGCTGGGTAGTCAGCGACTGTGGCTGCTTTGTTGCTACTAAATGAATGATTGGATTGCGGTGATGATGAGCGTCGCTCTGTGTGTGTGTGAATGTGTGCGTCTGTGTGTGTCCCTGTGTGTCTCTATATGTGTGTGAATGTGTGTCTCTCTCTGTGTCTCTCTCTGTTTCTCTGCGTGTCTCTCTGCGTGTCTCTCTGCGTGTCTCTCTGTGTGTCTCTCTGTGTGTGTCTCTCTCTGCGTGTCTCTCTGTGCGTGTCTCTCTGTGTCTCTCTCTCTGTGTCTCTCTCTGTGTCTCTCTGTGTGTCTCTCTGTGTGTCTCTCTGTGTGTCTCTGTGTGTCTCTCTGTGTGTCTCTCTCTGTGTGTCTCTGTGTCTTCCCTCTCGATGTTGAGCTTACAAATAATCTTCG